ATTAATTACTAATATCAAACCATGCATTAAAGGTTAATACTTGCTTAATTTATTAGGATATCTTATCTCAAAATATATCTTGTGTTTTCCATCCTATGCTGTTCTTAACAGTGGTTTGCTCCATTTCATGTTTGCTATTAGATTACTCACCAAACATACATATGAGGTAGCTTAAACTAACCAGCCTGTAATTTCCCAGACATTCCCGGATCTTTTTGAAAAAATGATGTTACATGGACATTTTGTAGTCCTCTAGTACAGAGGCTAATCTTGGAGACATGTAACATTTATTTGTAAGAAGTTCATTTAAGAACTGTAGGATGGATACCGTATGGATCTGATGATCTGTTAACTTGCATTTTGTCAATAAGGTTGAAAATGTCATATTGTGTCTCTACTACCTCCTTAAACTCTTGTTGCTGAAAACATCAGTTCAGGCCCAGATACCTATCCAGTGTTTTCTGTAGTGAAAGCAGAGGAAAAGAATTCATTCAATTTCTCTGCAATCTTATTCTTCTTTAATAGTCCTCTGACTCTATTATCATCCAGCAGTCCAACTGTCTCTCTAGCTCATTTCTTACTTCTCATATATTTAAATAATTCTTTACTTTGGCCATTGCTGATGTTAGCAATATGCTCCTCAAACAGTTTTTTAGCATTGGCTTGCATCTCCCTTTTGCTCACTTTTGTTTTCTTCACTTGGGCAAGACTTGCATTTCCTGAAGGAAGCCTTTTCTCTGATAGCTTCCTTGACACTGCTTGTTAACTGGGCTGTGACATGCATATTATTTGAGTTTCTTTTACTGTGGTTTTGAGTAATCTCCACAAATTTTGAAGGGATTTAACCCACTCTACTCCTTTCAACTTCCTTTTTACCAATGATATCATTGCAAAGGAACGTCTTTGGTAGTCACATGTGACTCCACTGGACATCTTTGGCGATTTTCCACTTAAATCTGATAGCATCGTGGTCACTGTTTCCAGCTGATTCAACAAAATTTATATCTTGTACAAGGTCCTGGATGATATCGCCCAGAACAAATTCCAAGGTTGCCTTACTTCTGGTCAGTTACACGTCCAAGTGTTCTAGAACACAGTGGTTTAGGACACTGAGAAATACATGAGAACTAGAACATGTATTTATCCAGATAGTACTGGGGTAACTGAAGCTACCCATTATTGCAGCATTTCCTTGTTTTGAGGCTTCCCTGATTTCATTTTCCATCTCAAGCTCACCCAGAGAACTCTGGTCTAGGGAATAATAGCATGTTCCAAGTACTAAATTAGTTTTGGAGCCTCATATTGTCATCCATAGTGCTTCTGTGGAGAATTCTACACCTATCGGTGTTCAGGTCTGCTGGACTCTATATCCTCTTTGACACACAGAGCAACACCACCTCTGGTACCTCCTTCTTTGTCCTTCCCGTAGTTAATATCCAGTGGTGACCTTCTCACACTGGTTTTGTCCATTCTACCAGGTTTCCATAATGCCCACTACATCTAGTCTCTCCTTTTATAGTAGGCACTCCAGCGCTCCTGTTCTGTCCTGGAGGCTTCTTACATTTGCACAGAAACACCTTTACACACCATCCTTCTTCAAACATCTCTGGCATGTTCAGTTTCTACTCTGGCACTTCAGCTTGTTTGACTGGCTATCATGTTTCACTGTGCACTCATGGCCTTCTTTCTCCCCATCTATATTTGGGCAATCAGGAATATTTTCATCTTCACTCCCAAGGAATGATTTAACCTGAACTGGATGCTTCCCAGCTCCTGTTGGCCTTCTCCCAAGTGCAGTTTAAAAGCTGCTCAAGCATCTTTTTTACTTTCTACACCAGCAGTCTGGTTCCATTTTGGTTCAAGGGGAGCCTGTCCCTCTTTTACAGGTACAGCTTGCCCCAGGTGTTCCCCAGTGCCTAATGTGACTCCTTCCTCTCAATACTAACATCTCACCTGCACATTTAGGCTCCTCAGCTTTGTCGAACTCATCCTTCACCTGGAATGGGCAGTATTTCAAAAAAGCCAGTCATCCTGGATTTCAACCTGCTACCTAACAACCTGTGGATTTCACATACCATTCAAATGGTAGCCAGTGCTCCAGTGGAATCAGTTTGTGGTTCATGCTGGTACCAATGAAGTGGGGAAATGAAGTCATGAGGTCCTGGAAGCCAAATTTAGGATTTGCACCTGGCAGGCAGTTTACCATGCAGTCAGCATCACAAACTCAGCTGTCTTATGTTTGTGCAATGATTGAATCTCCCACTACCACAAGTCCCCCTCTCCCGATCTCTTGGTTCATCCTCACTGCAAGAAGATATTTGTTAATCTTCCTTGGAATAGGCTCCTTCTAAGTGATCATTTGCCTCTTTCTTAGAATGACAACCTCCTTCCCAGAGATCCCCATTTTCCATGACAGCAGAGGAGCTGTCACTGAAGAATTGTAATCCTGCTATGTGGTCTCTGAAGGCCTCTTTGGCCAACCCCTCTGCCTTGCTTAGCTTCTCCAGACCAGCAACCTTTGCTTCAAGGAAACAAGTTTGTTCCCTGAGAGACAAGAGCTTCTAACTCCAAGCACACACCCACAGTTTCCATCCAACTGGCAGAAATGTTAAACATATTGCACTCTGCGTTATATACCAGACATCTCCCACACCCCTGCTTGCTTCTTACCTCCATAACAGGGTGGTGGTGGTTGCTTAATAGTTATTGGGTATGATTACTTGGAAAACAAAGTTTACAGTTACATATTATGAGAAGGGAAGAAAGAGTTCTCTGCCCTAGCCTTCTCTCTGTTGCCAAACTCACACAGTTGCTTAGCTTGCTTGTGGACCGGCATTTTTGTCACTGAGACTGAGACACTTCATCTACCAGGTATCTTGTGCTTGGAGACCTCGCTTTCTCACCCAAATGTGGCCACAGTCCAATCTGATTAGAGGCCTTTGCTTGAAAAGTAAGGGAGGCTGTGGCTGACCTCCTGTTCTGTGTTAGCTTTCAGTGAAAGAGAATATGGATTAATTGTTCCACTTGGGGTGGAGCTTTTCTACTCGAGGGAGAGTATGATATATTACATGAGTTATTGGAGGGGACAATGAACAAAGGATAGGGAATGTGTGGAAGTGATGTAGTTTGGAAGGGCTGAGTTCCTTTCTGCAATTTTTTGAAACTAAGTGTTTTTTGACTTTCAAACATGGGATGGTTCTATTTCTGAACTTTCGTTTGTGAGCTGATCACTGCCCTGCAACCGTTTTCCCTTTCCCTTTCCAGCAGCTCACAATGATAGGCTTCTAATTATATTCCTATGTGAAATCTGGCCAGCCAGGACTGGCTTTGTGATACAAAGAGGGCAAAAGGTCATTAGCAAGAAACATCCATCAAGTTACTGAGCCTGCTAATTTTGGCTTGAGATCTGTCTATGCTAGAAGTTGATTCCAAATTGAATCCACCTCCTTCCTACGCTACCAAATGGAGTTGGCTCCACCCTCAGGGAGATTCACATTGCTCAAGGGCAAGGTAGCCTGGATATGAGATGTTCCTTCAACTTCATTGAACTGGTGTCAGACAACTGTATCTATCAAACTAAATCCCTCTTCCTCTGACTCTGTTCTGTAGGTCTTGCCCCCAGCCAGAGGTGGTCTGCTTCTTACCAGTGGTTTGGCTGGCCTTGAAGCTTGCTGGTTTTGGCATTTTCGCTAAGCATTCTGACCCCACCTTTTCTTCCAGTTGAGATTCAGAGTTTGAAGTCTCCATCTTAGAATTTTGGGAGAAGCAGACCCAATTTTGGCAGTCTCCTATTGCAGCCGCCCAGACAGCTGCAGCTATAGGACAAAATAGAAATAAATTTTATAAAGCACTAAAACCCTGAATCTACAGGAGCCCAAACTGAAGCTAGCTTTTACTTTATATTTATCAGCAGAATCTTCTACTAGCTAGGCCTGTGCATTTGCTCTTGTCACTATAGTTCGATGCATTGCTTTCCTTTCCCTCTTCTCCACTTAGGTTTAGTTTAAATATGGACTCCCTGCTGGGTTTTAGTTCCCCACTATATGTTTGTAAAAAGCTCCTCTTCTGAGATTTTGCTTGCTTTCCTGTGTCTTTGTTTTGGCTTCAGCTTATAGTCTATGAGCTTCAGATGACAGAGTAATATATATTCTATGTAGGTCACTTAGCAGCAGTTACTTTCTCCTTGCACAGTTGCTGAACTCACTTGTGTGCTGAAGCTTTTCCACTGGGGCTCCTGGCAGAGAGCTAGCTCCTTTGCAAGCCTGCCTCCTTGTATAGGGCTAGGCAGGTTGCTCCAACTGCTGCTGAAGCCAATCTGATCAGAGAGCATTGTTGGGCAAGTTAATATTATATGCCCCATTAAGCAAGTAATCAGAACTACACTGCATCAAGCAACTTCAAGGATCAGTCTATACTACAGCTGTCTGAAACATTAATTTGTGTGCCTGGTCCAAAAGCTTGCATCCATTTGTATTACACTGTCCAATCAATTAACTACATCCAAGGTAGAGGTGAACTGTGAATTTGCAGTGGTTTATTCCATGTGACCCTCAACAGACAGTTGGTGCTCTGGCTTGCTGAATGTTTGAAAGCAGGGGTGAGCAGAGGGGAAATGAGGCTCTATTGGTACATCTGTAGGACATCTGCAGTAGATTGGTAAGGGTTTCTAACTCCTAGCTGTCTAAGCAGACTGCAGAAGCACCACACTTGCTGAATCAGGGAGCTGAAAACAAATGTTGGATTTAGAAGGAAAAACCAGGAGTAGATTTTTGTGTGAAAGGACTTCAGAGTTAGATTCTAATGCTTGCAGCTACATATACTAATTTCCAAGCTAAATTTGTTTGTTTGCACTGTGACAGTGCCCTCTCAGCTTCCCAAAGTTGCCCTCCTTTGACCTAAACCATCTTAGGCAAATGTCTATTGTTGTTTGCAGTAGTTAACAATAATCCAAGCTAAAGTTTATGCAGTCACATGCTGCCCTGAATCATCCATGCAACAAGTTTCTTTTTCTTTTTTATTTTTTAATTATTTGGACAACTTATATACATATGTACAAAAACACCTATGCCTACTTTTTTCTTTTTTTCTTTTTTTACAATTTCATGTGATTTACAAAACAGGACAGCAAAATAACTTAGAAAGAATACGAATACTGTACAAAAATAAAATGGATTAAACTTGTAAAGGTTGGTATTTTACAGTGTTACAGATTTGTTAATCTGTAGTAAAACAGCATTTGAAGAGTATGTCCAATCTGGTGCATACTTGGGCTAAGTCCATCAGCAAACAGAAATGAGACCTGTATAGAAGTCATCAAAAATGTTCACAAAAGATGTTACATAGCAATAGTTTAAAGCCATGGCTTCTCTAGGGAGGTCTTTCTGAACTGAGGAGAGGAGCCGCCTTCATATCAGCACTCTTAAGAATTTCCAGAGTAATGTGGCAAATATGTTCACAGAGAGCTTGATTTTTTTTCTTTCTTCTCAACACCTGTGATAGTCTCTTTCCAAACTCCCTTTTGTTAAAAGAGATCCCATCTGATTTTTACTGCATTGTAAAGTTTGCACATGAAATTCACTGTTTGCTTTTACACCAAACGAGACAACTTGTCCTATTTTATTTCACTCATTAGTGGTTAATAAACTTTGGGTAGCTTCTGATGTTACTTTTGGAAGACTCCTAAGAAGCATGACTTACACCTCAATGCTAACCATACATATCTGGAAACAAGCCCCATTCACTTCAATGAAACTTGCTTTCAAGTTAAATGTGTTGAGAATTACAGCCAAAGATACAGTCAGAGACGTCTGAGAGTAGACCTGAGACCCTCTTGGAGGCTTGGCCTACACACAACTTTTCTGGGGCGCAGGCATATAAGTCACCTTTCCCACAACAGTTTCATAAATAGGTGGGCTTATAGACATGTTTGTCAGCAATCATGGGTGTCGCCATCCTTGCCACTGCTGCTTTGGAATAAATCTGCTAGGGAATCAATTTGCAGGAATCCGTGTTCAAGGATTTGTCCTCCAATCCACTCTGATTCCGCTTGAGGGAAAGCAAAACAATGGGTAGGGGGAGGGGGAGGGGAGGGGGGAGGGGGGAGAAAGAGAGAGAGAGAAGCAGCCGGTGGGGAAGGTTTGAGCATTACCCCAAATATTGTTTCTGCCCTGCTAATTACCTTCCCCTATCCTGCATCACTCTCATCGGAAGAGAAGTGGCATCCAAAATTCCCAACACTGTGTTTGCGACCAAACAGGTAAATAAGCCCGTTAGGACCTGGCTATGCACAGGCAGCTCTGCAAAAGCGGGAAGTGGTCCCGTCTTGAGGGCTGGTGCGCGCTGCAATCCCCCTGAAAACCTTGCAGTGGAGGCTGCTCTCCCTCCACCACACACCAACAGAGTCGTGCTGGCTGCTTGTAGTGAATGGGTTGTCTGACACACTGAATGTTGGCAAAACCAGAAATGCTGCCTGTCACTTATTCAGTACACACTAGTGAAGACGTTCCTGGTCACATGCAAATATTTTCCGTTACATGTCAGACAACCGACTCATCACAAATTGGGAGCCAAGTGAAAAACAAATGCCGTCACCATAAGCAAGGTGGTCATGCACACCTTGCTAAAGTGATAAAAAATGGCATCACAAATTTGAATGTTAAATGGTTGCTGTTTTCGGGAACAGTTTTTATAGAAGGAAGAATTATTAGGAGAATAAACCTAAACATATATTTATACATTTCTTGGTAGGTTTGCATGTAAGAATGTTTTTTAAGAATGAGAGGAATAAGTCACGTGTTGTCCTTTTTAAATATATTCTGCCGACAAGCTGTGCCTCAGTGTCTTTTAGGGCACAGCAAGTATTGTTCTGATCTGTTTGGCTGGTATGGCTGAGGCAGAGCTGTTTCTACGGCCTCCTGCACACAAGGAAGCAACTGTCTCCAACCCAAAGGTGGAGCTGGAGCCGACCATCCCGCAAGTGATCAGCTTAGGTAGCTGCAGCCATCCAAAAAGCAGGCCGTTGCCTCAACCACTCCGCCACCAGGGGCCTATGTGACCTGATTATTTGTCAAGGAAGCGTCATTCCTGCGCCTGTGGCTTGCCTTATAGTAAAGGTGAAATAACAGCATTCAGCATCCAGGCTCTATTTAGTTAATACTGCACTCGTCCTACGTTGGAACAACAGCCTAGTTCTAGCAACTGTTGCATTCGCAGGACTCCTACTAGAGCTTAGGCTCTTAAGAATTGGTCTCACGTCAAAGGGGAGGACGGTTGGAACAATACCATTTTGTGAGTTGCTGGCCTACCACACGGTCCTCACCCTGATCAACAAGGCAGCATTAATAGTGCTGGTAAAGCAGAATACGTTTACACTAGAACGATAGAAATAGCCAGGCTACCAATTTTTATAAGGAAGAACAAATGTCCCTACGATTTATTTTGGACACCAGAAATTAATTTTGGTTTATCATAAAACAAACGTTTCAAAAAGCTGAAACGGAGGTAGAAAGTGTGCTTGGTTTCCTGACATGTCTTCACTGAAGAAAACTCATCCCTTTTTGCTTTTGAAATGCCATAGATTGTTCGTTGCCCCTGACGCCTTTATTTAGAAGCCATTCTCTTCGCATAGACAGATTTTATAATGAATCACACAGGTAAAAATGCGAGATGCATACTGAGTTCTAGTGCTGGAAGCCACGGGCAAATGTAGAATACTCTACTCTCTGAGATGTTGTTTTATTTTTCTAGGAAGCTAGCTTTTTATCAGGCGAAACAAGAAGATACTGTCATTGTAGGTGTACTTTACAAGAGTAATATGTACAGATTCTTTACAAAGTTGGGGCAAATTGATCCTGATATAATCCCACTGGCTCAATGCGATTACCTCAGAGATAAATTTAGCCCTCGATAGGACAGTTGCACCTCTCCTTCCTTCATGCGAAGGAGGCATCGAGAACACAGCAGGGGAGGTTTCTGGAGGGGAGAAGTCTGTAAACATAATTCTCCACCGTTATAAGAGAAGGGGGAGGGAAAGTCCGGGACTACAACCTTTGTAAGATTCATGCTTTTAACATTAACAAAGACGACTGCTTGGCTAGATGCTAAAGGCTTCCCCCAGTGATGTCTTTCCTCCGGTTTTAAGGAGGGAACCTTAGCATTTAAACAGATGAAATATTGCCATTATCATTAAATGTATCAAGCCCGACATACAAGGTAAGATTGCAAGGTACATAGTGACAAGGCTCATGTCATAAGGTTTTTTTCCCCCATTTGGACATACCTCCTGTGTAGCAGTTTTCATTACCTTGTTCTTGTTGTTGTTTTCTTCCCACACTCTGTATAACAGCTGCAATTTATGAAAAGGTAAAAGTCTGTTGAAAAGTAGTTTTAAAAATGAGTTGTAGTTGCCTCAGTTCACACAGAGAATGTTTTGCAGGGGGTGGGGTGGGGGAAGAGATCTGTTCTCTTCATAAATGCACATAGTTCCTATTGGCTGACACAGGAATCTGGCAAGTGGATGAAGAGAATGCACCATTGAGAAGGGGGGGGGGGGGAGGGGAGAAAAGGGAAAGGGGGGGGGGGAGAGAGAGAGAGAAGGAAAATAAAACCTTTACAAAAGTGGTAGCTTATAAAGATGGTAGCTGCTGTTCTGCATTCATTCCAACAAAATACAGCAGAATAAAGCACTGTTAGTGGTATTTATATAGTACAGTCCAGTCTGTGGGTTTTCAGGTGAACAGCTGAACGAGGGAAAATATTAGGGTCTCACAGGACTGCCACATTCTTTAGGGTGATTTCTGTTGCTCCCCCTCCCCTTTTTATCCTAATGGCAAGTGACTAATAGAGCTGCATAATATTCACCAGCTTATTTCTTGTTTTCCTTTTTGCTTCATAGTTGGTTTGCATGGATGTTTTCGCTGGAAAAAAAGAGCAGCTTGTATTCAAAAGTGTAGCTCATAAAAAAGACCTTGTTATGCAGAGCTGGTCTTCCTCAGTATAAATGTCTGCTTCTGTCTGTCTGTCTGTCTGTCTGTCTGTCTTGGTTTGTATATCAATCAACTAATATGAACAACAGAAGTAATTTTTTTCTGAACAGTCTTGAACAGGGTGGAACATTGAGAAAGAGAAGTGAGCCTTCTAAACATGTGCTATGGAGTTTTGTTTGCTTGTTTTCTTTGCAGAAATACTTAAAGTGAGTTGGAAAGTGGTTTTACGAAATGCTTTTGTTGTTTTTTTAAATACAAGCAGCATTACATTAGTCAACAAACATGTCCATGACACAGCAATCACAAAGAGCTTGGAATCACTACTGTGGGGTCACAGGCCAAACCACCCAGTCAGACGTATATACACCAGTGTCAATTCTTTGAACTATATATTAAAAAGTTGCATTATTTCTGCTGATCCCCTCCCCACTCCCACCCAGCAGCCACTGATTTAAGACTGTTGTTGGTAGCATAGCAGGGTGGACGGGACACAATGTTGATCTTTAACTTCCAGCTACATGTGCTTTCAAAATGCAGGTAGGGCAATATGACTGTACAGTGGTGGATGAATTTGTGCTGATCAGTTATGCCTTTGCAACGATGGTGAACTCCCACCCCACCCCACCCCAGTTGCAGTCTGTCATTCAAAAGGAGGCAGAGCTGGCCTTTTTCGATCGCTTGATCATGCTGGGGTGGAATTCAGTATGGCGACGAGCATGCTTTGTCAGGTGGTCACTTCTCATAAACCTCTTCTCACAAAGTGGACATCGAAACTGCTTCTCCCCAGTGTGGGTTCGGTAGTGCCGTGTTAGCTCATCAGAGCGGGAGAACTTTTTAAGGCAATCTGGCCATGTGCAAGGGAATGGTCGCTCACCTGTAAGAAGGTAATAAAGAATGACCAGGTTAATAGAAACAGAGACATGGAACCACCATGGATCTGTCCAGTAGGGCAAACAGCTCTCCTCTGGCAATAGGTGCCAAACCCAGGTCTCCAGTGTTCTCATGAAGAGACGTTTCCCAATCCTGCTCTCAAAAATACGGAGCAGTTGAACAAATTAAATATCAAAAGAATGAATGATACTGCTGGGCCCAAGCCCCTCTTGTCCATACTGGGATCCAAAGCTTTTAAGGAATAGATTGTACTCATTAATGAATTTAGCCTTACTGGCATAAGAGTAACACAGAAATAGTGATCTTCTTGAATACAGTTGCCACCTTTTAACCAGGAAAGTAGATGCATTATTATATCAGCAGGTCATCAAAAACCTTATTCTGACCTCGCAACTTATGGGTTTTTAGTTATTTTTCCAAACATGGAGAAAGAAAGCCAGTAATTCATGCCTAAAAGTCATTATAGCCTTCCTTTTCATAGCAATTTTTATTTGAAGGGTGGGCACAAGAAGCAAGACAGCTATATGCAACGCTCTCTAACACTGTGGGCACCTTTTCCACTCAAATATAAATGAAGGCAGGTCTGATTCAAGCTTGGCCAACAGCCAGTATGTGGAAAATAGGGACAAGCACAGGGACAAGCATTAGAACTCCTTGAAGATTAGGTATCTCCTTCTCACCCTAACATTGACCGAAGCAAGAAGTTGTCATAGATGCCTATGCTATTGGCAGCATCGTCCCATGCTCTTTCACTCGAATTGTTGCAATTATGTTCAGTATTGCAAAATTCTGCACACGCTAGCAAATGGCGAGATCCCATTCTTATATTCAAACACCTGGCAAGCTATATAAGTGGCAACATACTCCAACATTATGCACTAGTTCAGTGGATACCACTGGCTTCACTGCACAGGCCGCTATGTAAGACATTATAGATCATGTTTATCCTAGATTCGTAGAGTTGGAAGGGGCTGTTTAGGCCAACCTTGCACTCAGTGCAGGAATCCAGTTTAGAGCATCCCTGACAAATGACTGTCCAGGTTCTCCTTGACTGACTCCATCAACAAAGATCCCTACGCCCCATTGCCTGACTGCTATGATGTTCTGTCCAGATTTTCCACGGAAATGTAAGAGTTAATCTAACGGTATACACCCTGGGATGGAGATGATGCAAACAAACCTACCACATAACTCTGCAGCTGCAATGATCTGTGTACCTACCTGCAGTCAGGTCCATTTAACCCAGCAGGGCTTACTTTGGAATAAACATGCACAGGTTTGCTCCCTGATGTATTGCAGAGGATGTGCTAAGAGGAGGATTCAACATAAGAGCGATTGCTCAGGGCAGAATTTTATGAACCCCAAGCATGTGGCAGCTACCAGGAAAGTCAACCATCTTCCATGTCCTATTGCCTTTTATTATTTCAGTGCTCACCCAAACAGCTATATTTTCCTCAGTCGTTGCCAAAGAGCAATGGTTTTGGTCCTAACACACAAAGCAGAATGGAATGCTGGTCAGAACATCATTTACTGTAAGGGCTTCAGAACATTCCACCTGGACAGTTGCCATGTGGTATGTGCCAAGGAGTGTGAACAAGGACAGCTCAGTTTTCTATGAATCATCTCTACAAACCTGTGTCAGTTTTCTTCCTCTCGTCTCTTTCATGTGCCCAAGCAGCTTGTAAGTTGTGATTAATTATTTTTGTATGTATGAGTTCTGCTAAATCTTTCTCACTTGGCATCTTAATAAAGTCAACCATAACTGTAGGAACAAGTCTAAAAAGGATCCACATTCCAAATAAATAGAGAAAAATAAATCTGCTCTATCTACTACTCTGGATGATTTGATGAAGAATATTGGACTCCTTTTTTCCTGCCTCATCACCCATCACCTTTGATGCATGAACCTTTGATGTGCTTGTTTGTCAAAACCCAACATCTCAAAAGTGAAATGCATATAACTAATGACAGAGACATTTACCCTGAGCAAACAACCACTAGGAATTGGTTTTCCTTCTATAGTCTGCTCCCAACAAGACTAATATCCACATTGCAAATCTTTATGTAAAGATGACATAACCTGACTGATGCGCATACCTTCTCGCAGCTTCTCTTCTTTTCAAACCCATCATAGGCAACATTATTTCAATGGAAAATGTCAGATCTGGTCCCACATGGGCAAGGCACAGAACCTATACAAAGGGACTGCACATACATAGTCCAAAATGTCCAAACTCTCTTGCAAGGCAAGATGTACATTTATTTGTAACAAGTGATTTTATATTGTGATCACAGTATGCATTTCTACAGAAATCTAACAATTTACATACGTACAATTGCTTATATTTATGTGGAAGTGATATCTGAACACATGTAGAATTTTGTCAAGATGACAAAATTGTAGGGTAGGTGGCTGAAAACACAGGGAGAACTTACAGAGCAGTTTCTGTTCCTTATGCCTCTCTAAAGTCATTTTGGCAAAGCACCATTTATACACAGCTTTAGCACATATGGGTTTTCCAGTGTAATTTGATGGAAGATTTGCACATGTTGAAAAGGATGTTTAAAGAGAGTTGGATCTTCTGATGAAGCAATCAACAGCCCTGAGAAATTGGGAATGGGGGGAAGTCCTATGTACACATCAGAGCCCCATAATGACAATGAATCCTTGGATTCAGATGACTTCGTATTTTCAAATAAGACTTCAGAACCTTAGGGACTAGAAGCTTATTTTCCTTCAAAAGCAAAATGAAGGCTGTGGCTACTAGGGATCTAAGTATTTCACCAAACATTATGCCTTAAGTCTTAGTTTGCCAACCCTGTTAATACGAGTGGACAGTGATGCTTGTATTCCTTCTCATAGGTATCCTGTTAATGAACTAAACAGAGATGTGGATACGAATTTTTAATTTTTGATAATAGTGGCAACAGCTTGGATGTTAATCAACTCTAAATACAGTTCCAATAATATTCTCATTTAATCTTACTAGAAGAAATGCATTGGGTTTAATCCAGATGTATACCCAGGGAACCGAGCTGGTCGAAGGGGGTGTTCCCACTGCCCTTCTCAGCATAGCAGCCCCTTAACCCCCTGAGTACGGCTGAGAAGATCAGGGGACTGGGCTGAATGGGGTGAGCTGTGCTAATGACAGAAAGGGGTCTTATCCCCAAAGGAGACCTTCTGTGAGTGCAGCACTTGCAACCCACCGGATACTTTGCAGTGGTTGTTGCATCGAATTCCAAGATAAAACAAATATTATTTATTTAAATCTTGTTCTGTTTCCCTCTTGTAAGGAAGCCAAGGCAGCTTCCACGATCCTTCTGCGCTTCTCCATTTTACCACGAGGATGTGAGGGAGATGAGTCCTCCACTGAGCTTTAGGGCAACTCTCGCAAGTTCCAGATCAGCACTACACTACAGTTCAATATTGTGCCTATTTATAACTGGCAATGGTTGTAAAGCAGTAGCAATTCTGCATATGACAAGCTTGAATGGTGCTGGCTGGGAATACATGGCATGCCAGAGGTGGTTGAGCTCCATTAACCTGCAATCGGGGTCAGATCGGTTCAGCCTGAAACCAGCAGAACTATTTAATATAGCCAGAATGTTGCAAGCAAACCAAAATACATTAAAATACAGCCATGCTCTGAAGACCCACAATAGGAGCCTTTCCCTACCTCTCTTCCAGTTTTCCTATGCCAATAAATGTGTTGGCTAGGAAATGACGGGAGTTATAGTTCAACACATTTCGAAGACAACAGGCTGGGGGAGGCTGCGTTAAAGCAATGGCCTCCTGAGCTGGGGAATAAGATGCGCCCAGGCTAGTCAAAGACAGAACAGCGTAAAAAACAGGAAGCTCTCCCACCAGCCTTCTGCCCACAGCCATGGACCAGGCTGCCTGGCGACTCTTCTTTCAGCACTGCTGCTGGGACACCATCCTTTAGTGTACCAGAAGGCAGCAGGCTAGCTTAGGGACTCCAGGTCAGGCCATCTGGACCACACAGCTCTGTCCTCCACAGAGGGAAACAGCCGCAGCTGCCACTGTGGAGCCCTTCATACCATCCAGCACCTGCAACCTGTGGCAGCTGCCTCTGCCTGTCTAAGGTAACGGCCTCCCCAGCACACTCACCCCAGAATGAAAAACCTCAGGGAGAGCTCACAGGGCCCATTATGTATGCACTCAGAAAAGGGTCTTGCATAACATTCTGTGCAGAGAATTTGCATTTAGTTGTGTACGTACTTTGGAGCGGGAGTTTAAATACCAACTCACTAGGTATTAGCAATACAGCTAGACCAGATAATGACTGCATTCTTCATATTTGTGGAAACAGCTCTTAGACTGCGAAAGTCCAAAAAAGGTACCTAGTGTATTCAAAGGAGCAGGCGGTGGAAATGTACATTATGCAATTATTTCTGCACCCGAAGGACATCTCTGATGTGGACATTTACATTATACGAGCATGGTGGGTGAAGAGATTAATGTTGCTGAGGTCTACAATGGGGGCGGTGGGGAATGACAACAAGGATTAGTATTAGTGGTCATTCACATATTAAGGTGGCTTTCACAGGAAGTGGTAGAAGGATTATTTCAGTAATACCACTCTTAGATATACAATAGTGGAATAGTGGTGACATACTTAGAATAACAGATTCACATAGATAAACAGTGCCAAAAGCAAAACTTTTTATTCAAAACCCACACACAATTACATCACCTAGGTCCAACAAGCAGTGAGAAAAATGAAGCAAATAATACAATCAGACTATATTACAGTTGCTGAAAGGACTGAGAAAAAAGATCCCAGGAAGTGAATTATCTGATTCTTGGCAGGCGAAGAATGCCATGATACAAGCAATCAGGAAATGTAAGAAGTGGTCCAGTCAAATCTGCAACCATGCTGTACCCAAGCGCATTTTTAGAGAGGTAACCGAAACGAAAATCCATGCAGGTGGTAAGAGCACTAGTTCCCTGTGCTATTCATC